GAGAAACTGTGAAAATAAAAACGCAATATTTACGCAATTGAAAGAAGACATTTTGTGCCCGAAATTGTGGGACGCACACGCGCCAGCAATTTATAAAGGATCAAAGTTGAGAAAAACATTTGCGATCTCATTATTTACGCGGTCAATCTTCGTGCACACCGGCACAGATATCCTAGCACATATCAGGAATTTCCAGGTAAATATCAGGACTTCCCAGGTAAATATAAGGAATTTCCAGGTAAATATCCGGACTTCCCAGGTAAATATCAGGAATTTCCAGGTAAATATCCGGACTTCCCAGGTAAATATCAGGAATTTCCAGGTAAATATCCAGACTTCCCAGGTAAATATCAGGAATTTCCAGGTAAATATCCGGACTTCCCAGGTAAATATCAGGAATTTCCAGGTAAATATCCAGACTTCCCAGGTAAATGTCAAGAATCTCCAGGTATATAACAGGAATTTCCATCACATGAGGAATATCAATCTTCCAGCTTCTGGAAGAAGATAGACGGGACGAAGCCGACCTTCTCCTTCAGCCTCACTTGGATCATCCCGCGGGGGAGGCTGGGACTCCTCCGCCCCAGGAGGACGGCGACGTCCCCCCGCTCGAAGCTCAGCTCCTCCGGGCCCGTCGCCTTGTAGGGGAGGCGGGCGAAGAATCGCTCGGTCTCGACGGGGGGCTTCTCCTCCAATTTTTGCTTCAGATCTTGGGGGGGGGGGGGAAATGAAGAGGAAAATTCGTTTTCAGTAGATGGTTAGGGGTGAAGCCTTTTTGGATCCAATTGACTAATTATGAGCAACGTTTTGAGAACTGCCTGGGGGGATTTTTCCCCCAATGATTCCGTCTCCCAACTTTTTTTTTTGGCACTTTTTGGAATTGAGAATTTACCTGGTTGTCACTCCTTGTCGCCGGTGAGGAAGGGGAATGCTTTGAGAAATGATTTTGATGACAATGGGCTGCTAGTGAAGGGATTTTGACCGGTCAAATGAGGTCGTTCATTCATTGTCATTTATGGTCATTTATGGCCGACAAGGGCTATAGGCGGCACATGAGACCACGAGCCTCATGATCATAAATGACTATAAATGACAGGTCGTTCGCCGACAGGTCAATAAACCCAGGAGAAAGTTTCGACCCAAGCAGCATGTTTATGCTAATTTTACGTTAAAATGAATGCAAATTTCTTGTCCATTTTGTATATTTTTTTTTACACAAACCACCATCAAGATAATGTCAACATGTTTGCAGAAATGTCACCTCTGTAGTACGCAAACGGCGATATAAAATTAACGTAAATTTTATGCACAATTGACATTCCCGTTTACATTCACTTCCCGTAAAATCGATGTTAATCCCCCCCCAACTTTCATGCTTATTTAACAAGCCACTGCATTTCTCCCAATCCTTCCCATGCTTCGGAACTCCAGGTTACACGGACGAGCACACAAGTACTGATCCGCACCAGCATTCAAGAGTACCCAGAGTACCACACTGCTTCCTCCTCCCGTTCCAGACCCTCGGTATAAGAATAAACGTTTATAACCCTTCTTCCATTAAGGAAAGAGGAGGTTCAGCATTTTATGAAGGTGGGATTCTACTCTTCCCTATTTCCGTGCACTGCTGTAAAAACAAGCTTAGCATCAGCATTTAATGATTCCCTGAGTCATATATTATTAAAATATATATAATAATTTCATGTTTTCCATTCACTTATTGCTAGGGGAGTCGAGTTGAAACTGCGCAGCATGCAACGATTACAGCTGACTATCCGTGAAGCGCGATCGAGTCGTGGAAGATATATATGTGCAGATAACCTCGTCGCCACGCAACTGATGATGTTTCTCACCTGCAAATAAACAATTCAGATTATCATTTTCAACAGGTCTATTACGGAAGGGTCGTTGAGCAACTCGGATATGAACCACTTCAAACGCCAATTTCAGGACTTTCATATTCATTTTCTATCTGTAACAGTCATTATTGGAAACGATGAGGGAAGGACATCGATGGACATATCGCTGGTGAGACTTGAAAGAGGAAAGCTTTTTACCCCAGAGGCGATTGTTTTGGGGGTTGTAAGCTTGCTCTACAGTGAAAATATTTTTGTCAGAGAAAAGAATCCTTTGGAGTGAGGATTGGTTAAGCTCTGAGGACTGGCTAAGCTCCCATCTGATTCATTTACGACTGTTGATCTCACTCATAAAAGAAGTCTTCAAGATCCTTGGCCGGGAAAAGAAAGGAATCAAGGTTAACGGAGCCTACCTGAGCCACCTGTGCTTTGCCGACGATATCATTACCTTCGAATCTACTCTCCAAGAATTAGAAAACCGAGTGAAGGAACTCGCAGAAGCGAGCAAAAACGCAGGCCTCAAGATGAACCTCGCCAAATCTCAAGCCATGTTTGCTTTGCCGACGATATCATTACCTTCGAATCTACTCTCCAAGAATTAGAAAACCGAGTGAAGGAACTCGCAGAAGCCAGCAAAAACGCAGGCCTCAAGATGAACCTCGCCAAATCTCAAGCCATGTTCGGGAAGCATGTCAGACCCAAAGAAATCGAAGTTAATGACAACAAACTTCAACAAGTTGACAACACTACATCTACTTAGGACAGCAAATATCATCAGACAGCAGAATTGCAGGACAAATCAACAGAAGATTGAAGATGGGATGGAACGTTTTCGGACGCCTCAACTCGACTACCTGCCTCAAGAGAAAAGTCTTCGACCGATGTGTACTTCCCGTTCTCATATACGGACGTGAGACATGGACACTGACGGCAAAAATGTTGAACTACAGACGACTCAATGCAGCATGGAGAGGTGAGCGCCATCATCAAAAGAGCGAAAAAACTCAAACGGCAGTGGGCTGGCCACGTTGCAAGAACAGACCAGCGCTGGAGGACAGAAATCCTCAACTGGATACCAAGGGATGAGAAGAGACCTAAACGACGCCCCCACACGAGATGGATTGACGAAATCAAGAAATTCGCTGGACCAATGTGGAAACGGACAGCCAAGGACCGGGAAAAGTGGAAGCTTCTTCTGGAGGCCTTCCCTTCATCCTGCAGTGGATCGAGAAGGGCTGATGATGATGATGATGATGATGAAGAATCTCAACACCAGGCAACTGATAATGCTTCTCTCAACGTTTGTTTTTTGAGTTTTAAAGCACTCGTTCTCCAAATAATGCCTACTTAGCAGCTTGTTGAGCCTACTCTAGGTGAACCTTTCCCAATGGCCGCGAAAGCAGCGCCGGATTTACCAGGACCTGGGTCTCAAGCCCATTTCGTCCTTGCACTATTTCGTCGCTGACGCTGATCGTCGCACTTCCCTTGTCAAGAGATCATTTAGGAGAGGTTGCACTACCCCCACAGCACAGTGATATCCCAGGGATGTCCGTAACTGGACGACTCGTCCCCCGGTCTTCATCGGATATCCCGATGACATTTACTTTCGGACGGTTTCGGACATCTCGTAAGGGATGTCTTTGGGATATCTAAGAGACGTCTTTTTAGACATCTTCAGTGGATATCATAGAGATATCATTTCGGGACATCTTGAAGCCATCTTCAACCGAACGCTTTTCCATATCTTGAGGAGGATGCCCTTTAAGGACATCTTAGGGATGCCATTAGGCATATTCAGTGCTCTTTGTCGCCTTCTGTCAGGTGCCAAGCTTCGACGGTAGATGTCTCCCGTGAGGCGAGGCCACCGATACCGAATTTGAAGTCAATACGAATTTATTTTATTATAGTATTATATTATTAAATACTATAATAGTTATAGTATTTAATGGAGTTCGAGTTTCTCATCTGCTCAAAAAGTAACCTTAACTTAGTTTTCTTTTCCCTCTAAGACTATTCTCATGGCTGATTTTCTCTCTCTAGGGAGCAATTCCACAGACTCTGGACCTTCAAATAGTGAGTTATCGAAATCTATTCCTGATGCACGTCCTTGCCGCTATCACGTCACGATGCAGATCAACTGAAGCATGATCATTAACGAAGCATAGCTTACTGTAAAATAGGTTTTGCAGCTCACTCTCAGATGGTTTGCAATTCACTTCCCACACATTTTAGTTAGTTTGTCATGAGGAATGAATCCTAAACCTGGCTTTCAACTCTCTAGACTAGAGGGAGATGTCTTTGGGATATCAAAGAGACGTCTTTTTAGACATCTTGAGTGGATATCATAGAGATATCCTTTCGGGATATCTTGAAGCCATCTTCAACCGAACGCTTTTCCATATCTTGAGGAGGATGCCTTTTCGGGACATCTTAGGGATGACATTAGGCATATTCAGTGTTCTTTGTCGTCTTCTGTCAGGTGCCAAGCTTCGACGGTAGATGTCTCCCGTGAGGCGAGGCCAACGATACCGAATTTGAAATCAATACGAAATTGCCTCATCAGATATGATCATTTGACGGAAGGAACAGTGTGCAGAAAAACAACGCAATTTCCCTTGATTCCAATCGTAGCCATCTGTGCACCGTTCCTCCCGTCAGATCATGTCGTCGTTTACTGATTCTCACATTCATGCCTCACACGATTGTTAATTTCGAAAAAAAGATTTTTTTCGAATTTTTTTTTGAAGTTGGGAGGATTTAACAACGAACTGCTTGGAATTTCTTCAGCAAAGCCCTGAATGAGTATGGTATTCAGAATGATCGAACTTCCAGTATGAAAACTCACCTCAACACTGTCACTGGGGAGAGGGAAGAGCTCCAAGTGCGAATCTTTTCTTGGCTGTTTTTTTTTTCCGAATCGGTCTGCACCCGGCTGTCACTCTGTCGTCTACAGGGTGACTCAAAAGTCCTTTTACACCTTTAATCAAGTGTAGCATTCTCTGATGAATATCAATTTAATTTCTGATTTGACCAGTGCAAAGATTACAAAAAAACTAAACCAACCTTGTTTTTATGTTTCAAAAATATCACCATTTGAGACAATAACCTGCTTCAGACGTTTTGGGAAATCATAATTTCGGTTCTTCACAACTGATCAATCGACAATTCATTCCATTCCTTCAGCAGATCAAGCTTCAAGCTATTGATATTCTTGTGTGGCTTGCAGCAGACCTTTAGCCTGCAAGTAGGACCACACACTGTAATNGCCGAATAATGCTGTAGATAGTAGATCGAGGGGTTTTGGTGAGCTGCTTGCTGGAAGACCAATCTGGTTTTAAAATATCACTGTTTCTCTTTGATTTTTGGGAACCATATCAAGAGCTTTCGACCTGGAACATGGAAGGCAAATAGATCGATAGTAGATGTTGCTTCACTCAAAAAATTACCTGGCTATCACTCGTCCAACGGCTTTTTCAATAGGTGTCCAAGGACTTTTGAGTCACCCTGTACTTTTCTGGATCACCTGATGTAGCACGAAAAATGCACTGAATATACCCGGAAAGAGGATCTCCTCCTGCATGTCGGCTCCGAAGTATAGAAATTTTCTCCATCATTCAATCATTCTGCAAGATCTCACACACTCTCTCAAACCGTATTTCTTCACGATCTCCCACTTTCCACCATCGAACACTTCCACCGACGAGTTCCCAAACCCACCCACGGCACACAACTTCCCATCCAATGAAACGAGCCCATGCCTGTGCCTCCGTTCCATCATGCCCTTCATCTCCCTCCATTCGTTCTTCCTCCCATCGTAACCGTAGACCTCGGTCCCTTCTCCCCCGTCGCCGCCAGCCACAACGAGCTCACCCGCCCGAAACGCAAGCGCTGGATTCCCCCCCTCTCGAGGGAGCTCGGCCAACTCCTCCCATCTCGACGTGCGGAGATCCAACCGTTCGCACTTCCTACTACCACTCGTGAATCCTCCAATGACGTACAAGCATCCATCGTGCCAGCACGCACCCGCACCATTCCTCGCCCATCTCATATCGCTCAGCCACACCCACTTTCCCGATTCCACATCCAAACTCGTCACCCACCTCTGATTCTTCCCGTCTACGTCCCTTCCCCCACACACGAACAACGATCCCCCGTCCACTGCACTCCCCGACCACGAAACAAACTCTGGCGGCTCCGGTCCATCCTCCCACTCGCTTCTCTCCACGTGGAACGTCTTCGTCTCGCCGCACCCCGTCACGAAGAGCTTCCTTTCGATGGCAGCGAAGGATCTGTAAAATTGGCCATCTTCATCGTGAGGATAGTCGGCGACTTCACTCATGTCCCAGTCTCTCGTGTCGATGCGATATATCTTCCTCTCCTTGTTTCTCTCTCCCAGGCAGTATATCTCAATCTTTTCCACTTCGGGTATCTTTGGAGCCTTCGGAACCTCTCCGTCGTTTGAAATCTCTTCAACTGGAGGACCGTTAGGAAATCGTGGAGTACCAAATGATTTCTGTAAAGTTCCACGGGGCCGTGTTTTCTCTTTCGGAACGGAACCACGCAGCTCCGGAATGTGATTGTCGATCGCATCTAAGGCAATGTCGAGGCACTTCGAGTCCCGTCGAACGACCGGATCCTTCAGCACCACCGTCTTCAGATACGCGTTCGGAAGCACGGGCAATCGGATCTTCTCGAGCAGATCCGGCAAGTGCCGCCTCCGACTCTCCTCCACGTCCAGCCACCTCCTCGTCGCCTCGTACACTTCTTCCTCGGACGAGATTTCCAGCTCGTCTCGCGCCAGGAAAGACGCCAGCGTCTCGAAGGAGATGCTCAGGAATTCCCTTGTTTGGATCACCTGACTGAAACGAACCGAGATGACGCCGATTGCCGCTTCCCTGAGATCCTTCCTCTCGCAGTGGTCTGCGACCGACAGGATACGAAATGCATTGTCGGTACCGAGCAGAGCCTTCACGATCTTGCTCATCTTGTCGCAGAGGCGCTTGATCCCGAGAAAATGAGCGTCTCGAAGCGCGGCCAACGCCCCTTCCTCTCCCTCCACCTCCAGCCTCGTCCCGTGGATGTAATCCCACACCGGCTTGAACCCCGTCTCCGTGAAGCCCTCCAGTCTGATCTCCCTCTGCGGAGCGTCCTTGAAGTCGGTGGAGAAATCATCTCTCGAAAGTAGGGAGAGACCGCGGCGAGTGTCCCCTTGCAGGAATGGAATTTCTCCCCCTGGACGAGGATGACGACGTCGCACCAGCTGGGTCCGGCACTGATGCACTCGGAGATGTCCATCGCGAGTCCGGCATGATCCTCCAAGTCCTTCTCGATCGAGATCGTCTTCCTCCCATTAGCTGCAGTTGCCATCCTCTCGGAATCAAACTCTCCTCAAACGACACTAGGGGAGTCGCGATGAAACTGCGCAGCATGCGACGATCACAGCGGATTATCCGGAAAGAGCGATCGAGTCGTGGAAGATATATATGTGCAGATAACCTCGTCGCCAGGCAACTGATGATGTTTCTCACCCTCAAATAAACAATTCAAAATATCTTTTTCAAGAGGTCTATTACGGAAGGGTCGTTGAGCAACTCGGATATGAACCACTTCAAACGCCAATTTCAGGACTTTCATATTCATTTTCTATCTGTAACAGTCATTATTGGAAACGATGAGGGAAGGACATCGATGACAAGGAATCGAACGCGGCGCCAGTTTGATATTCACAAAAAAGCTGATCCAGATCATCTGATTCATTTACGACTATTGATCTCACTCATAAAAGAAGTCTTCAAGATCCTTGACCGGGAAAAGAAAGGAATCAAGGTTAACGGAGCCTACCTGAGCCACCTGCGCTTTGCCGACGATATCATTACCTTCGAATCTACTCTCCAAGAATTAGAAAACCGAGTGAAGGAACTCACAGAAGCCAGCAAAAACGCAGGCCTCAAGATGAACCTCGCCAAATCTCAAGCCATGTT